TAGAAGTAGTAGTAGTAGTAGTAGTAGTAGTAGAAGTTGTAGTAGTAGTAGTAGAAGTAGTAGTAGTAGTAGTAGTAGTAGTAGGTGGTGGTAGAAAACAACCTCTCTCAGTTACGCACAACCAGGACAACAAATATTGATCGTTTTCAGGCTGACTAGCAGCTGACGGAGCTGAGCTCTTGAATCGTGCTGAAGAATGCACTCCAAGCTAAAGCTTCCCGCATCGCCACACTGCCGCCTTGCTCCCTGAAGGTTTTCGGCGTTTACGCCGATCGGAAGCTCATCCCGCTGACGAACTGGGCTGTCGATTTGATCGAGGAGAGCTTCCCACGCCAGGTGGTGCTTTCCTGCGGCGGTTTCCAGCTTGTGATTCTCGATGATTGCTGGACCTATTATCAGTACTTCGGAGAAGTGCGGGCTGGTAGGAATGACTTGACCTGCTGTCCTTCGCACACAGCTGTCGCAGGTGGGCGTCGTGCAGCGGACGCCGGCGGATCTCCTGGTGCTTTGCCTTTGCTACGGGTTGAAGAAACTTTACAGTCTTATGGCTGACGGGCCTCCAAGCGAACATGTTCGGGTTCAGGTGCGATGGTTTGAAGCTCAGAGTTTTCAAGAGCTTCCAAATTTGCAGGGGTACTGCAGGTAGAACATCGAGAGAGCACAGCAAGTCGGTTGTGTATTCCTCGAAGTCGGCTAGATGCGGATGGTGCCTGTCAGTCGATGTCAAGCCCACGGTCCCTGCTGCAACTGAACACCCCAAACCTTCCGATGCAGCATATCATACTGGCAGTCTTCAATGACCCGGGGACTTAGTTAGTTATTGAACCCAGCCGTCAATTGGATTGGCAGCCCAAAAGCCCCTGCCATTTTCACAGCCAGAGGTGTTCCTACTGTACTTGGCCTTCCTGATCTGGGGTGTCGTGCAGCTGGCATTCACCATGTGGGACGCTGCGCGCCAGCTTCTGGGCGATTCCAGTGGACCCGTCGCGTAGTTCTTGCAATATCCACCCAAAACAGCAGTCTGGGACAAGATATTGGGGCTCATTGGGTTCGAGCGTGGCTTGCCCGGTGGCATCTGCTTACACTCCTCAAAGCGCTGTAGTTTCGCCAGGAGCAACTAGAGGGTTGGACAGACCAAGCTGATTGCTTTTCCTACAGTTAAAACCCAAACCCACATCAATTGAAAATTCTTGCGAGGTTTGAAAGAAGAAACTAAGCTTCATACCTGAACCCTCAGAGCAACACCCACTCCGAGTCTGCTTTTCGGAGCCAGGTTCTCCCAGAGTCGAGGCAGCCCTAAACCCAAAAGGGTCCCAAGTAGTTGCCTTCGTGATGCAGACAAGTTTTATGGAAGGGGCAGCGTTATGTCAAAGGTTTGTCTCGGTTTTCGGTCGTGTATATTAGATGGGTTAATGTAAGCCTCTGATGAAGACAACTTTTCGGAAATGGACATTATCGCTCGGGCCACATTCGTGGTGTTTTGGATTCTAGAGCTTCAGGGTTTGGGGGTTTGGGAGTTTAGGGTTAGCCCGCGTTCTGATCCATAGCTCTAAACCTGGACTGGTATGACGTCGGGGTTGTACTTGGTTTTTGGCGAGCGCTCCTTAATATCGGCGCGCGTGTGTTTTGGGTCGCTTTAGTCTTATGCAAGGTATTCCTGCGGCTGAGAAGCATCCGGAACAGGGTTAGGATGCTGGAAACATATCCGTATGTTGAAACCTGCAATGAGGCGGCAAGTGTGAATCCCATCACCCACGACCAGCTCTAAAGCATATAAGTCATCGTTATCCTAGTTCTGTGGTGAGTGTGTATAGAGGGCTCCTTGCGCTTTTTGTAGTGAGCATACTTTTTGTGGCGTCCTTCATGGGGATAGCCAGAGGCAGCAGGCCTACTGCTACACACTCCGGAGAAAAGCCCTCGTGGTCTCTTCATACGGCTGATGGAGAAAATCCTGCATGACCTTATATACCTAAACTATGGGGTTTATGGTACTATACTATATTTGGGTCATGCAGAATTTGTCTATCAACAGTAGCTTCCGAAGTCTCAAGCCTCCAGCTTTCAACACCGTAACTCAGACGTTTCCATCCCGGTCGCGTCTGCCCCCAAGTGCCCTTTTATAGAGTCTTTATGGTTCTTAATAGTGCGTATTTGGGGTATGTTAGAGGGTATATAATGCATCTGCTAGCATGTGGTTTCTTCATGTCTACGACCAGCCCTGGAAAGCATTTTTCCGAAACTCGGGGGCTTTCATAGTCTAAGCCCAAAACTCCAAGTTTCAGGTAGTCAGAAAAGGAGCTCCTGAAAGAATCGAAACCTTTAGTCCCACACCGGGTTTCGGGGAAAAGTCCAACTGCAGAAGCCTCTCATCTCAGGTTTGGACGGAGCCTGCTGGCCTGCTGCCCGTCTCGCAGCATCAGAACGAAACCACCACTGCTCTACCGTCAGGCCGAGCGTTTATGAGCATTGAAGGCTTTCCGTCCTTGGGATTTGGGACTTGGTAAGTGTAGAGAGTCGAGACATACTACAACCATTGGCCGGAATATGGGACTGGGTTCAAGACGCAGGGTGAGCCACCGAGCAGTTGACCTTAGCTTGAATTCGGAGAGCGGTTCTTGGGATGCGATGTCGGCCGGCTTGCTCTTGCGGTCCGTGTTCCTGGCTTTGGGACATGCCCAAGCACCGAGAGAGAGCATGGGACAGGCAGCACGATTGGGACTTGCCGGGTTTAGGGTATATGGGCTTACGCGCTGCGTGTTCAGGATTTTTAGGCCTCAGCCCTCAAGGGTTGCTGTCGTCCCTTTTACCGCCGGAGCTCTCCTTCGGTTCCGCAACCAGCCTGTCGAAATCTCAAGCTTAGGCCATAAACACCCTAACTTCTGAACCCCCGAGTCGAGGACCCTAAAACACGAACCACAATCGATCCTAAGCTCTGAACCCCTGAGGGAAAAAAAGCGGGTCGGAAGCCGGGAAGCCGGAAGCTGCAAAAAGCAACCAAATAGCACCACGAAACCCTTGGGATGTCTTCCGCTTCCTGTAGTATAGGGGCCTTAACAGAATTACCTATACTATTTTGGGGGGGTATAATTATTGTATAATGGGCCCCAAAACCCCATTCATCAAGGGCCCCTACATTAGAAGAGGTACCTCGGTTTAGGGTGTAGGGCTTAGGGGCCCGGCAGGGTTTATGAAGCAGAGGACCGGAGGTTACCATAATAGTCAGGACTTTGGCATGCTCTCGGTAGCATGGTATCTCAAGTTCTTTTAGCCCCTCGATTCCCAAGAACATTGAAGTCCTCCAACCCTGAGGCCTGGATATACAAAAACACCGAGTAAGGTTCAGGAGAAGGGTAGAGGCTTATTCGCCGTGGGTCTACATGAGTGTCCTTGCATTCCATGTAAAAGCCTAGCATTGTATAAAGCCCTGTTCTAATTGGCCCCGGCCCGTAATTTCCGGCTTGATGGCTATTAAACACGACGCTGAGGAGGAAACATCCGTGCCCCCTCCTGTAACCCTCCTGCCAAGCACTGAAACATGTTTTTGTTGGGGGAGGGGGGGGTTCATTGAGGGTTCTCCTAATTCCTAAACCCTAAACCCTACCCGGGCCAACAGGAAGTTCCGTACGTCCAGCCTCCGTGGCTGGATCCTTCGGCCGTTCCACGGCCTGCCGAACACGAGGCTTGGAGGGTTTCGGGTTTCCAGTCACCATGATTTGCAGGTGGAGGAGGTCTGGCTAATGTAGGGGCCTAAATAATTTGAATAGGCTTTTCGGGGGTTCCTTGATTATGATTATAGTATACCATACCCCCTAAACCCTATTCTAGTTATTAAGGCCCCTATCGTCGACTTGAGTCCAGTGGCAGAAAACAAGGGGGTTTCGATGCACTGTCACTGGTTTTAGGCTGCAGCATGGGGCAGCGAGGGAAAATTGAATCCCAAAGCCTGTGACCCACAGGGGGGTTTCCGATTATTAGGGGTACCTTACGTTGGGGTCCCTACAATGGGGATCCTACTATTTAGGGTACTACATATTAGGGTCCCCTATTTTCGGGAACCCCCACATCAGGATCCGGCCTGGAGGCATGTAATGGCCCTTACACTTCGGGGACGGAAGGCGAGGGGGGGTTCCAGCAACCCTCAATTCGCACAACCCTATAAACCCTATAAACCCTATAAACCCTAAACCCTATGAACCCTAAACCCTAGAAACCCTATAAACCCTATAAACCCTAAACCCTATGAACCCTAAACCCTAGAAACCCTATAAACCCTTCCGGTGGCGTTCGTTGGGCACCAGAGTTTGGGAACACACGGGGAGGTTCAAGGCTGCAGGCTTCGGGATTGTCCCGCCCCTTCGGGGTTTAGGGTTCAGGGTTTAGGGTTTAGGGTTCAGGGTTTAGGGTTTAGGGTTTAAGGTTTAGGGTTTAGGGTTCAGGGTTTAGGGTTTAGGGTTTAGGGTTCGAAGGGTCCTAGAAATTTCGGGTGTTGCTTCCCGGACGTTTAGAGCGTGCTCAGAGACTTAAGCTCTACAAAATCCAATGGCTTCCCAGCAAGTATAGGGTATAGTGTAGGGGCCTTAAGATTTAGAATGGGATGTTCGCTGAGATCGTCTTCTAACTTTTTATACTTATAGCATGAACCTGCGGAATAGTACTAGCGATCATTCAGGCTTCTGCATGCAAGCTTGAGTCAGTTCCCCTGGCAGTAAGAGTCCCGTAGATCTACGGGCAAACACCTAGACCCCAAACCCTCACGATCTTGAAGCCTAAGCCTCAATGGACTTCAGATAGCCCCGCAAGAGACCGACAGAGCCCTCTACCCTTCAATCAAGGAGTGCATCTGAAACTCTTAGGCCTCTACGGGGCTTTTTGTGATGATGTACATTAGCTTACTAATTGGGAAGTAGCATGCTTTCTGGTGAGCTTCTGTCAGAGGCCATCGGAGATGACGGCGCGAAACTGCAGCATCCGAGACGACAAGATGACCTTATGCTTTGTTGCCTCTTTCCAAACCTCTTCGGCTGAAGACCATTCCTCCCAGGGGCTGCGCTTCTGAGCCTTAATATGATGAAGGCGGTGTCTTTCTCTTAGATCCTACAATTTAGGTGGCATCAAACTTCAATGTGTTTGCAGTTCTTCTTGATGGTGATCCTTCGAGCTCGGTTTCATCTTGCGTCTCTGTGGATGCCATGGTCAAGCTTCGAACTATCGTGCCACTGTTCATCCTCTACCAGTCCACTCTAGGTACTAAGCCAGCCGCTCTCCCTATCTCTCTCTCTCTCTCT